TAGGGAAAGGGACATTTATACTCAATAGTATTTTTATACTGTGCCGTATTATAACATTCCATTTCTCTACAAAAGCTCAATATTAATTAATGATAGTTTTACCAGCGAAATAACCTCTTTATAAGCTCACAACTTCAAGCAAAAGAAATATCTTCACTTTTTCTTGCTTTGCTGTATTTATAAAACGATCGTAATGTATGTTTGGCCATTCAATGGCTGGTTGCATGAAAAGGGTAACCCACTAATGCCCAAATTGTTATCTTTAGCTTTGTGGAACGTTCCCCCTTCTTCCTCCACCCTTTTTCAAAATGGAATATCTCTGCTTAAGTAGCAGAGCTGGTAACTTGAGTTTGTTCATTAGGTGTGATGCGCTCTAGGTAATTACTCTTTTTTTAATTTTTTTTTTATTTTTTATTTTACAAAACCCCACTATTGTTTGAAAAATCTGAAGCATGTTTACAGTATTTATAAAAGGTGTTTTTTTTCCCTCCCCTTTAGACCAACCTATGATGACATGCCACTCCCTGTCACTCCAGAGGCTGCTAGGATTGCTTGCCTGTCCCCAGAAGAGATGGAGAAAAAGAGGAACAGAGATAGACAAGAGATTTCCAGCAAAGACCGGGAGTCCGTTGGTGAAACGTGCTCTTCTCCTCCATGCCTGTCTCATGAGGGCACAAAGGAAACCTCTGTAACACAAGCATTTATTCAAAAACTAGAAAGAGGGCAGGAACATGTTGCAAGAATATCCCAGCAGTCTATGGGCATTTGTAGCAATGAGAAGTGGGATATCCCGAAAGATGCTCAAATTGCAAATCATAGCCATGAAGGCCAGTTTACAGCTGTGAGCCCTGTACCTCAGCGTTTTTCTGTCAGTCCTTTAATCCATAGTTCTTCTGTTAATCCTAAAACAGGAAAAAATGTTAGGAATTTGGCAGCATCAAATCTGATTCTGCATAGTGGATGTGATAGAACAGGAGTGGAGGTACGCCATAGTGATGTGTTATTGAACCCAGGCTTGAATCCTGCTCCGGCACCAGTTCACCCAAAACGCCTTTCAGTTTCTCATGAGAATCCTATGTGCAGCCACAGCAATTCTTTATGTATTACCTCAGGTCAATCTCTCTCAAAACGAGATGGTTTACGAACTCAGGATGAAACTTTGGTGTCTGATTTCCATCTCAGGGATACTGTGGGTATCAGCAGCTCCCTAGATCTTGGGACATCCCCACAATTAGCAAAATGCAAAAACGTGAAGATGAGCAGAGGTGATGAAAGTTCAGTGGATGAAACTATTGAAGATGTTATTTTGAAATACTGCCATGGAACTACATGTGAAGAAATTTATTTCAAAGAAGAGAATAATCCCTGTTTAACTTTTTCATCACTTCTGGACCATACTCATTTAGAGGGTTCTGAAATGAGTTTTGACTGTGATGCACCTATTCAGGCAGGAACAGACTTACCCAAGGCAGCTATAAAAGATATAGAATTCCTAAAAGAGGTCCAAATAAGTTTGCAAGATAAAGACTATGGAACACAGCTCTCTTCTGTTTTAAAAAGTGAGTCAGTAGAGAAAATAAAAGCAGTGAAACAGCATGTCGCCGTTCATACCGAAGAACCAGTTCTTCCAGCTCTGCCTCATGTGCCTCCTTCTTTTGTGGGAAAGACTTGGTCTCAAATAATGTACGAAGATGATATAAAAATTGAAGAACTTGTGCGTGATTTCAGGGAAGGTCGTTTTCGCTGCTACTTTGACAGTGAATCCTCAGCCAACTGTACAGGGAAGAGAATGAAGAAAAAACAGCAGAAGGATGAAAAAAAGAACAATATTGTTGAGGGTAATAGAACAGAAAGTGCATCAGTTAAAGCATTGCCAGAATTTAATGATGCTTTAAGTGGTGGCTCTGATTTTGATAACCCATCTTTAGCCTCAGATACACTATGCAACCCACAAATTCTTAAAATGCCTAGGAAAAGGACATGGCGCCTGGCTTCAAGATGCCAGGTGGTGAAAGTCAGCCATGGCACCCAAACAAGTCTATTGAACTACCCTGTAGCAAAAAGAAAAATGTCTAGAAGGGAATCTGATCCAGCTGATCAGAAAGCAAGCATCGCATGGCCGGAGAATGAAAAAACTCCAAACATGAAAACTAGACTATGTGCCCTTAAACTTCCTGAGTCCTATAGCAAGATTATGAGTCCTGTACAGCCCAAGACAGTGGTGTATGTACTTTCATGCCCAGAGATAAAACAGTGTAAAGGTAAATCTATAGATATTCCCAAAATGAGGAAAAATCGTAACTCCACAGATAGCAAGGACTCTGTGAGGTATAAATACAAACAGTGTTCTTTTAAGTATTATGATCCACTGACAAATCGAATTCTGAAAATGCCTCCAAAGAGTACAGTTGGAGAAAAGGCCAAAAAGCCCTCTCATGTTCGACAGCTTTTCAGAAGTCTCAGCTTTGATGCAAACATGAGGAGACTAGCTGATGCACAGAGAGAAGGCACGCCATCAAAATCACTCAATTGGTCAGACTTCTATAGTTCATCTTCAGCATCTTTCCTGAAAGGGAATGATGCAGCCTCAAGTCAAAAGGCAGATGGATCTTCTGTTTCCACAGAAAGAACAGATTGTCTGGTATCTGGTCACTCTGAGAACTCTTTTAAACACATGATCATTTCACCTTTGAACTCTCGCCAGTCTGTGGTAGAAGGAGATGTTAGATTAACTCCATTTAACAGTAGAGTTACCAAAACTTCTCTGACCTCTATCAGGAGTGAGCGGTTAGAAAGGGAGAATCCAAAGGCAATATGGAAGAGAAAAGAAGGCACTAATAAAGAACCAGTTTTTTCCAGAAAGGCTACAGGACCTATGTCTGTCAGATGTACTGTTGGGAGGAGAGGAAACAGAGTAACTGCAGGCAAACAAACTTCCAGAACTAAAAAACAGCAAAAAGAGGGGATGAGAAGGAAACTTCGTCCTCGTGCCCAGAAATCTTCTGCTTTCTCCATCCATAGGTGCCAGACAAGGAAAACTACAGCAGGAAAGCACCTTAAGAAAGAAAAGCCTGATGCTAAAAAATTAAAGGTGAGGAGGAAACCAAAAAGGACCTTTCTGAACTCAACAGTTGTCACAGGGGTTCCTGAAAAGAGGCAGAAAGTCACATCGGAATCTCTTCCCAAGAAGCCAGAGCGAGCTTCTTCCAAAGTCAGGAACTGGGAAGTAAGTGGAGATCGGGGTCACCCTAGCACTGTGAACCAACCCTCTAGAAGAACTTCTGCTGTACCTTTACTTCGAAACTGTCGTCTTCTACCAGGTGAGAGCTAGCTACCAAAAGAACTTTTTTTATAGCCAGCACCTGGAAGAAGATTGAGGAAAACAAAGGGGAACAAAAGGAGGTCATAGATGAAGCAGTTGAAGTGCTAGAGCTGCAGAAAGTGCAAAGCCAGTCTTATGTGAAACAAGTACAACTGTAAACTCGGCCCTAGTTCCTGGAATATGGGGACATAATGTATTGCACTGTTCTACTGTGTAAAGCTGCAAAAGTTGTGTATTTGAGTTAAAAAGCACTTAGAATCCTATTTACTAGGCTTCACCTGTACATCAGAAAAATGAGCTTGAATAGTATCATATTGTTTTTATGGTATTATTGGTGCGTAATAGTGCACTATAATAAGGTAAATTAGAAGCTGTATTAATTAATTGTGCCTATTCTCATTTTTCCACATAATTCTAAAGTGCAAAAAATCACTTGGTTGTTATGCTAGAAATTAAATGAAGATACATTAATCTGGGCTGAATTCTGTGTATGTATTTTGTGTTTGTGTATATGCACACCTCCTTCAACACATAATATATACTTGTCTATGGAGTGGCATTAAAATTAATACAGTATGATACAATTCAGATCAATTCAGTGCTTTCTTGAAATGAAATATAATTGTACCTGTTTTTATATTGACTTTTTTTTTTTAAACCATGTCCAAAGCAGTTATTTTGGACAGAAAGTCACTGTGGGCTCTCATCAAGCAATAATGGACCATGCTGGTAAGGAAATATGTCTCTCTAGGGCACTGTTCAAATGGTGGTGGCTAAAGTGAAACCTCAGCTTCGAAAAGAAATATAGGCTTAGGGTTTGGGTTGGGTTTTTTTGTTTGGTTGGTTTTTTTTTCTTTTTAAATAGCTTATTGATTAAGTTTATAGGCAAGTTTCACATTCCTTAGTGGGAGGATGGAAAAGTTATAATACAAAAAATAGCAGTGAGTTGTTCTAGCATTTCAACCTTAAATTTGAGTTTCTGTGCTTTTTTGATTTTCATTGGGTGTACTGTTGGTTACATTTTTATGTACTATAGTTGAAACTTTCTTTTTAAACTTTCAGTAAAATATTTAAATAAACCTAAAGCAGCATCCATCTAAATGTATTAGAGTTCAAACATCTGTTTAAACAGGTATTTAAATATTTGTTTAAAAATATTTAGTTGAATTAAAATTATATTCCATAGTGATTTATGTTTGGCCACTGATGCTCTAACTACTGTAATTTTATGGCAAAAAAGACCATAGTGTTTTGGTTTAGTTTTGGAGTTTTTTGTTTGTTTGTTTGTTTTAAATAGTTATTATGATGACAGCTTATTTAATGTGTTTAGGAGACATAAACCCCAGTCTTGCAGATGTTTCTGTGCTTTAAAATCCAAGATTAATTGTTCATTTGTATTAAGTTAATCATATAGTTAAACATCATCACAGTCAGGGCTCCGGTTTGTAAATCTACAATTTGGTATACTATATAATCTGTCTTACTTCCAAGGTCTTTGTAAATTCTATGGTTCTTTCAGAACACAAGAAAAACATAGAAAAGACCAGACCCTGCTCTCTCTGCCATTTAACATAATATCTGTGCATTTTCCCCTCAAAAAACAAAACCATTCTTGATTCATTTTCTGAAGTGTCAAAGGTCACTGGTTTGGATTGAGATAAAGGTGGACTTTGAAATGTTTTCTTTTAATACATAGTATCTGAAGGAAATATAAAAGCTGTCATCATAAACCACTTTTTAAAAAAATATTTTGTTTTTTTTTTTTAATGTATGTGCATATTTCCTAGGATAAATAAAAGATGGGCATGTACTTAAGCCAGCTGGAAACTAAGTTCTTTTACAAGTCAAATATGGTCTGACAGATTTTTTTTTTTTTAATTTATTTTATTTTTTAAATAAAAGTTGAATTTTCATATGGTTGTCTGTAGACACAGAATCTCATGACCATATTGCAAGTCACTGGAAAATGAAGGGTTATAATATGAGTTCTTATAGCCCTCTTAACTAATTGTGCCTGTATAATTTAATATTTTGTCTAATATAAACCTGATTTTTTTAATGCAAAGTTTTAAAGGAATGGTTTTTATAGAAAGGCTAATTTTTAGATAAAGCAAAAGAAGATTTTTAGATAAAGTTTGTTTTAAAGCAAAGCTTTAAATTAAATCTATAGATAAGTCCCATTCTAACATATTTTTATTATACAAGAATGTTTTCCTATCTAACTTCTTCCATCTTATTTTTCACAATACTGTTCACATGTTTTGTGTGTGAATAAGGTTTAATGCACATTGTACTTTAAGATCACTAGTGCATATTTGTTTATGGCAAAAATACTGTTCTCCATACTCATTCATTGCAAGCTTGTGTTTCTCCAGCACACAACTTTTCCTTGAAACCTTGAGTAATAAAAATATCTTGAGGACTACAGAATGACTAATATTTTTAACCTGTAATGTTTTTTTTTTTGTAAATAATAGACCCCCTTGTCAGGGTGAGTTTTTTAAAAAGAAAAATGTATTATATTTAAATAAAAGTGTAAGTAGCTATATATTTTCCTTAAAAAAAAAAAGGAACAAGTATGAAATGTCACAATTTTTTAACAAAATAAGACTTGGGGTACAACTCTGGAAACATTTCTGTGGTTGACAGTGTCAAAATAAGATTTACTGTAAGCTTGGATGTTATTCTATGCCCTACTTCTGACTGTTCAGAAACCTCTTCTGTGCATGCTCAATGACTACTAGGAAAAAGGGGGGGAGACCGTGATATGAGAAGTGAATGTAGAAACTGCTTTGGAAAGAGAATTGATGAAGATGTGTGCAAAACAAAAAATCGCAGAGACGCTCAAAATACCGTGTGCATGAAGGAGAAAAGAGACGTTTTCTGGGGTCTTGAGGAATTAGTCAAACGCTTCCCTTTTAGATAAATGATACCGATTCTGCTGCCATTATTGAATAGCGTGTTGTTTCATTAGCAGCATGGCTGAAACTTCGAAACATGATTGTGAAGTCTACACCAATGGAAAACTTCAGAGCTGAAATACTTTCTCACTGAAATTCATGGGAGGGTGGGTTGGTTGGGGGTGTGTGTGTGTACTTTTTAAATTTTTTTTTTGTTTTTTTAACATTAGTGGACAAAGATGTTTGCCAGTATGCTTGCATGTCAATCTAGAGAAGCAACAAAAGATAACTGGATTAAAGAGGGATAAAGTCACGCTTTTTTAATCTAATTGGCAGCAGTTAGATGCAGGATATTTTATAACAGTTGACAAAAATGTTATCGTTTCTTCTTCGATGCATATGTACTTTTGACCTTCTGCAAGTTCATACTTAGGTTTTTATACAGTCCATAATTTAAAAAAGTCTCTCCCCCCACAAGGTACTCATTCAACCTTTTAAAACAATCTCATTCTAAGCAGCTTGACTTTTATTATTTACTTGTGTTGTGAACCTTGAGTGTGACCCAGACTCA